GTCCGTGAGACTCCGGTTCCCCTGGGATGTGGTTCCCCCCAGCCTCCTGTATCTGTGAGACTCCGGTTCCCCTGGGATGTGGTTCCCCCCAGCCTCCTGTATCTGTGAGAGACTCTGGTTCCCCTGGGATGTGGTTCCCCCCCAGCCTGCTGTGACTGCCACCCCTTCCACATGCCGCCCCTGCAGCCCTCCACTTAGATGCTTCTGGGTAGCCGAGTTCTCCCTGAGTCCTGGCATTTCCCAGTGAACTCTGCTTTCAGTTTTGCTGTTACTGTGCAGGTGAATGACTGGCAGGAGGACTGGGTTGTGTTCTTTGCCAGGCAGCGCATTCAGCCCCAGATGGACATGGTGGAGAAGGAGTCTGGGGACAGGGAGGCCCTCCAACTTTGGTCTGCTCTGCAGGTGAGCGGGGCCCCACCGCACGCCCAACACCTGCCGCACGCCCCACTCGCCTGAGGTGGGGAGGCGCCAAGGCATGTGAGGCTACCTCGGAGTCTGGTTCTGGATGGGAGGTGGGTGCCTGGTGGTGTCCCATCTGCTGCTACCTGGGGTAGGGGCGGGTGTGTGGAGCGGTGCTTAGGGAAACCTCAGCACCCCTCATGCACGCTGTGATCCATTGGCTGAGGCTCCACTTTCCTCCCTGCAGTTAAAGATCCCTGACCTGTTCCACGACCTGGAGATCACCCCAGCCTTACTCCACGGAGACCTCTGGGGCGGAAACGTAGCAGAGGACGCCTCCGGGCCGGTCATTTTTGACCCAGCTTCTTTCTATGGCCACTCGGAATATGAGCTGGCCATCGCCGGCATGTTCGGGGGCTTCAGCAGCTCCTTTTATTCTGCCTACCACGGCAAGATCCCCAGGGCCCCGGGATTCGAGAAGCGACTTCAGTTGTATCAGCTCTTTCACTACCTGAACCACTGGAATCATTTTGGATCGGGGTACAGAGGATCCTCCCTGAACATCATGAGGAATCTCGTCAAGTGAGTGTGCTTTGCTCTGGAGGAGGTCTCAGAGGTTTCTCCACAGTCCTCTTTAGGATAAAACTCTTGTTTCTTCACATGGCCAGAGTAGCTTAAGACCAACTCAGTAGCTTATTTCCAAGCCTTGCAAAGTATAGAATATCTCCGAAGAAAGGTTTTGTCATTACAACTTTGTGGGGTTTGTAGGGAGACGGAGCCATGCTAGAGGCAGGGTGTGAACCGAGGAGTGGATGAAGCAAGGTGGCTCTGAACCACACTTCCGCTCCAAGGTGGAGAGACTGTAAGTGATCTCAGGTGGGTGCCGGGGAGGATCCAGTGTGTGGGGTGGTGGTCAGCGCGCCCAGGCGCTGCTGCTCAGAGGGCACCTTTCCGCCACCTCCCTGCTGTCCTGTGCAGGAACGTCTCAGAGCTGTTCATGTTGATGATGCTTGGTTGGCAAAACTTGGGTCTAGACATGAAACCATGTTACTAAAAGCTTCTTAAAATGACCAGTTCCAAAATCAGGCACATTCCTCTTCTTCCTGCACGATCCCTGGACCCTGCTGCAGGCTGAGCAGGTCTGGAAACCGATTCTGGGAGTGACCAGGCTGCTGGCCTTAGGGTGTCCTTGGGTAAATACAGGAGCCTTACCTGCTTCTATCATTACTCCGTCTTCTCTGTCATTTCCAAAGCTTGCTAAGTTGTCATTCCTTTGCAACTTTACACACTGAGCGAATATTTTTCCCTCCTTCAGTATTGTAGTGTTGAGAAATATTTCATGAATGACATTGATGCTAATAGATCGCTTTGCATAAAAATTTGAATAAACTTTCAGTGTTTTCAATAATGTACAAGATTGTGTATTTCCTTCATTTATTGTAATTCAATATGTATCTCAGTTGTTTGCTTAAAAACTTTTGTAATATTTTGTGACAATAAACAGATAAAACTAGTGTTTTTGTTTTGTTTTTAGAGACAGGGTCTTGCCCTGTTGCCTAGGCTGGAGTGCAGTGGCGTGATCATAGTGCACTGCAGCCTCAAACTCCCAGGGT